CATTCGTTACCTTGCTCCATCCTTGTTTGTTGATCTATGTCAGGTCATCTTTCCCTTAAGTGTTCTTCTCTAAAAGTGCTTTTCCTTCTGAGGCACTGGAGAGCCTGACATGTGTGCACAGATTGAGACCCTTCTGCAGCTATTTACTCCAGTAAACAGAGCAACTCTTTTGAGTCACGAGGTTCTGGAATGTAGGTATTTTGTAATTGTTGACTGTTCTGGATGGAACTACTGTGGAAAATTGACCATGCCAAAGTAGATTATTTCTTATTTCAGGTGCATTTCATCCCTCTTTACCATCCCCAGGCTAATTTGGAGTTGGGATGTATTTTAAAATATATTTCATAAATGTAATATTCCACCTCTTGAATAATGGTTAAAAACTGATTTCATTTACAGTTGATGGCCTCTTAGAATTCAGGAAATGCATGCATAAGAGGGCATCCATGTGGAATCTACTTTTTTCTATTGGCAAACTGTCATAATGACAAACTGTCATAATGACAATTTTCCATGTCCCTTGTGTAGTTAAGTATATTTTGTGTAGTAAGTATATTTTCTGTGTTACTTAGTGGAAAAGGGCCTTTCCTGGGTGATTTCCTTATTCTGAGCAAACAAATACTTGTCATAACACAATTTCTCATGTCCCTTGTGTAGTAAGTATATTTTCTGTTACTTAGTGGAAAAGGGCCTTTCCTGAGTAAGATTTGCTTATTCTGAGCAAACAAATACTTCAAATTGAGTAAGAAAAATGGAAAATGTGAAGGATCATCTCTTTGTTAGCAACATTAATGTTTATATAGATATACTTCATGAACTCTTCTGACATAGTTGGTTATTCTTTTGTATAAAGTAATTTCTTGTCTACATTTCCTTGACACTTTTTCTGTGTATATTTCCCTTTATCATACTGGCTGCTCCTTTGCAAAGGTTTTGTCATCAGACTTCTCTGTAAGACCTTTGAATGATCCATGTTCTGTTCTCACCCCCGCCACCACTCTCCTCCTTATCCTCTACTCCCCTTTCTCTGAAATTGCTTCTCTGGTAAGGGCTTATATATTCAAATAGCTTCCACAGTGATCTGATTCTCCATTTGTGCCTGTAGTCTGAGAGACTCCCCTGAGCTTTGGTTTGATATATAAAATATAACTAATAAGTATTTCTCAAACACAATATGGCAAAAGCAAAACTAGCAATTCTTTGTTATTGAATCTGATTTCTTCCAAACCTTTCCCCTTCTCAGAAGTGGTAACACAGACAACTGATACTTGGGCCAAATACTTTGTGTGCTGAGGAATCCTTGATTCTTGAACAACTTGTATCTGTCAGTTTTCTTGATTCTGTCTCCAAAATAAGCCTCTTTGCTTCTCAGTGTTGCCATTGGTTTAATCCCACTCCAGGCTGCCATGATCTTTGACCAAAGCCTCCACTTCCAACTGGTGTTCTTACCTTTGCTTTTCCCCTTGGTGCCTTTACTTTTGCCCTGTCCACGTTCCTCTTGACAAACCTTCAAGAGTGAGCTTTCTGAAGTAGAAATTAGTTCATGTTTGAAAACCAAAGGCAACTTCCTGTTACAATTAGAATAAAATGTTCTAATTGTAACAGGAATTCTAATGTCCTGTTACAATTAGAATAAAAGTTCTCAGGTTGACAACAGAGTTGGTTCCTGGCGGCCTTCTCTGACCTTTTTCTCCCTATTGTCCTATGTTTAGTCATACTGTCTTCTACTACTAGATCATGGTGTTTCCTGGTCTTTGTACCTGTGATACCATCTCATAATGCCCTTTCTTCTAATCTTTGCATGAGAGAGTCCTTCTGAACATTTACATCTAAACGCACATGTGAACTTATATGGGGAATCTTGTTTTGAGCACCAGCACACTCTCCCTCCTCCACCCCACCCCCTGTGTTTTTTACCCTCCATTATCATCTTACCTGAAATTTGCTATTTTGCTGTTTTTTTTTTTTTTTAGGATTTATTTAT